CTTATTTAGGAGTAGGGTCTTTGCGGATGTAATAACGTAAAATGAGGTCATACTAGATTGAAGTAAGCCTTAATTACAATGACTGTGGTTTTTATAAAAGAAAGGAGAGGGAGATGTGGATATAGAGATACAAACACACACAGAAGGAAGATGACCATGTGAAGACAGAGACAGGGATTGGGGTGATGCAGCTATTAAGTATCTTGATTGCCAGCAACTACTACATGCTAGGCAGAGGCCGAGATGGATTCTTCACTAGAGCCTTCACAGGGAGCATGGCCTTGCCAAGACTTTGATTTCAGACTTCCAGCCTCCAGAAATGTGAACGAATAAACTTCTGTTATTTTTGCCACCATATTTGTAGTAATTTTTTAATTTGTGGTAATTTGTTATGGAAACTAATACAACCTACTAAATAAAAGCAGTAACCCTCCCCCAGTTGTGACAAACAAAATGTCTTCAAACATTGCCAAATGTCCCCTGTGGGGCAGAATCACCCCTAGTTGAGAACCATTGAGTAAAATCCAAGTCTTATCAAAGACTAACCTAGCAGGTGGAACATTTAAAAGCTCTACCATCTTTAGAAAGAATAGACATCTTAGTTAAACTTTTGAGTTTTTATTTTTTTTAGAGTTTTATTTGGCATAAGATTTACTGTTAAAGTATCATATGACCTACGTAGAGGTGGTTTGAAACACAAGAATGTCTACACTGAACTTTGAAATGTCCTTTATTGCAAAATATATTTTAATGAAAAAATAAATCTATTTCTATTCCTCTATGATCAGCTTTTAAAAAATAGTTTTACAAGGCTAGTATTAATAATAATAAAAAGCACATAGCATGCTTATCATTAGAACTTTTTAAAAAAAACTTGTCTATAAATGACCTTCTTGTACAATAGTTCCCATTTTGTGTAACATCTAGAGTTCCCTATCTACTGTTATCTGTCCCTGACTTAGAAACTCTGGCCCCATCAGGATGACTTGAATTTTCTTCACAAACCTTTCTTTCTTCTTTTCATGATGCACTCTCTCTGAAGAATAATTTCCAGGACTCAAAGTAGCCTTATTCACCCTTTTTTCTTTCTGTTAGTGCAGTTAAGGAGAGGGGAGAGGAATACATATTCATAGAATCCAAAAATAGAATTCTAAATGTATTGTTTATAGGCAATATTTTACTTGGTTATTAGATAATTTAAAGCTATAGCTTAGCCATATCATGGTTTAAATGGCTTTTACAATTTGGCATGACATCTCATGGTTGTATATAATACTGCTTTCATGAAGAAATATATTCTGAATTCCAAACCTCCACTTTATAAATAGTATATATTATTCATTCCTAAGTTATAGTGTTTCTGTAATTCTGTTGCACATTATAATTCTATATATCAGCATGTTAAAATTAAGATTTTTTAAAAAATTAAATTATGTATATTGATGGCAATCAATATATAGATGAGAGAAATAAAGAGAAAGAATATTTATTTTAATAATGTCTGCTTCTTGCACCTTTTTCTTAATGAAGTCCAGACCCTTCCAAGATTTTAAAATATAATGAAGAGATTTGGGGGCGGGGGAGGTGGATTTAGATAGAATTTTTATTCTTAATTGGAGGTATAGTCAAATTTATTTCCTGATTTAAATAAAAGCAAATCCTAAAACCCAGTGCAGTTTTTTAGTGTTACTTAGCTTCTTGTTTTCTTCCCAATTTACTTCAATTAAATGAAGACTTCAAATGAAATATGTGAAAATATTACCTTAATATTTTGAGTAGAATTATAGCATGTTTATTTTATTTGAACACATTAATAGCATAAATTATATTGCTCTTCTAGCAATGCCTATTTTAAAATGTAACTTGTGAAAAACATCTAAGTAGAGACCATTTTGCTATTTCACATGAAACAATAACAGGTGAAAATCAGGATGTTACTCAATTCTTTGATGCGAAAGTCTCGTGCTTTATCTATCCTGCAGAGGGAGAAAAAAAATTCCGTTAATCTCTGGAGCAACTATTTGACATTACTCTTTTATGTTAGCATTTTTGCCACTACCTGTAAAAGAATTCCAGGTGGAAAATTTTCAGCAATGATTAACAAAGGGATGAGTATGATAACTTGATGAATGCCTGTTATAATCTTGGCACCATCACTCATATTTCTGCAACTTTCCTGATCCTCCTTTTTTTCCCCTATGAACAGAGGTTTTCAGTGAAGATGTGTTGTCAAAGCCTGGGCTGGGTGTATCATATTTTGAAACCCCAAGTAACAAGTCAGTGACAGAACTTGGATTAGGACCCAGAATTCCTGCCTCTCCATTTTATACTTCTTTTTGTGACTCAGTCTAATCTCTTTAGGGAAGTATTCAGACCACATCTGCCTGAATCTCCTGCCAATTTCTTTTAAACTCCAACATTAGCTGAATCAGCCACCTGCCAGCCATCCTCCAACTGAAAGCAATAAGGTTTACATTCTCACTTTTTTAGTTAGAAATATCTTGCCTAAACAAAGAACTTCTCACTCTTACTATCCTAACACCTTCTGTAGACTTCTCTGCTTTCCCAGTCAAGGCATCTGCGTATATTGCCTCTTCAAGGGACTTTTCCCAAGGCAAAAATCACCACAGTTATATATGTTCTTTTGTATTTTGGGATCGTTCAGTGGAAACTGGAACCTGATCAAGATACTTCAAAGGGAATATGAAGGTACGGTACAGGTGGTGTCTGGTTTATGAATGATTGTATTTTTAATATGTGAACTGGCAATTGGAAATGGCCTCAACAGCTAGTATATTCTGGAACTACCGCAGACTTCCCTAACTCCTGAAGCTTGGTTCTCCTTCCATTCCTATGCCTTCAACTCCAGTAAGCTTAGATTTTTGCCTAAGCCAAGCTTAGAACCCCTTTCTCTTCTTGTTCTAACACAAGTCCCAGGTGGTCCAGTTTGTACCAGTCCTAGTGACCAGCAATGGGAACATAGCCCCAGCTTCAGAGCTCATCTCCATGGCATTATCTTTACCTTCATTCTACCTCCAGGGTCAGGCTTCACACTGTAGCTTATGTGCCAACTTGTATAAAATATACAAGACTGTTATCATCAATATGATGTATGAATGAGTGTCACCCTGAAATTTTAATGACTCTTGATTACAGGTTTGTGAGCCTAAACCCCTAGTGTTACAATCCACATAGCCCTTTAGGGTCCAAGTTTACTCAGCTTCATGCTCTCATCAGCATCAAGTATGTATCAAGTGTTCCATATATTCACTTATTTAAGTGAAATAGAAATAAGAATGATAGAAAGCATTGTTTTTTAGTTTATGTCACTCTTACTGTTATGGATTGTGTGAATAATAATAAAAAAATGATGATGGATAATCTCAAAAGAATTATGGGCTTGTTTCAGGGATAAAGAGTATGGTAATAACCCTCAAGATTATGTTCTGCTCTGTAGTGGGCTAGGCTAAGGAAGGAGTACTACCTAGCAAGGAAGCAAAGGTATCAAAACTTATGTTTTACAAGCTTCACAGAACAGACGATATAGAACAACCCTTTCTTTCCCATCCATCCCCTCCTGGCTTTCTATCTATAAGTGAATAGCATCTGCCCTGATCTTTCTGAAGTATGTTCTAGTTAATACAACCTCTGGAAAAAGGTTGTATTAAGAATGGAAAAAGGAATTTCATTAGAAAATAGTGTTGATGGGAGCCTTTTTAGCAGTGTGTATGTGTGTGTATATGTGTGTTTCAGAGTGAGAGTGAGAAAAAGAGAGAGAGAGGGGGGAGCGGAGGGAGAATATGAATATGAGTGAATGAATGAATATTGGATGTGGGCGGAGGAAAGATTTCGCATTCCAGATAGCCCAGGGAGAAACTTACAACATATTTCCCTATATAATCACTGTCAGAGGGTAGTGTGATTTAAGTATATTATTAAAGGATTATTTTATGAGAAAGTACATTCCAACTTTCAAAGCTGTGTGAGAGGTGATTAGACCTTTGGAGCACAGCCTATTCGAGAGTTACATTCTGCTAGGTACATTTTTTATTAGGCAATATTATAAAAGGCGTGTATAAAGCTAAAGCAACAAAAGCAATCACCAACTTTGATAACATTTTTCATATGTATATGAAAAGAAAGAACTGGTAATCTAACACTAGGGATAATTTTCTGAGCAAAGTATTTCAACAAAAAGTACAGTAAAAAAAGGTTCAGGTTTAATTTACATTGAATGGGAGATTTAAAGAATGCAGCCAAGTTTACGATAATAAGCTTTTTTTCTCTCCCTCTCTGACTTGTTTGATAGAGTTGGGGTAGTGTTCCTGGGAGGTAAAGTCTGGGGCCCAAAAGTCAAAGGAACAGTAGGCCGTGTACAAAAAGAAGCTTTAAGAAGAAGGACAGAGGTGGAAATGGAAAACTTTGTTTCTTTAATGAAAGTTTTCAAAAGGAGAGAGAAGTGAAAGAGGAAACTCAGGTGCTTAGAGGATTTGCCTCACTGTAACTATAGCTGGAAAACAAATAGCAGCCTAAACTAACCGTGCAGCTATCTTTTCTGTGTCCAGTGCTTTCTATTTTGATTTTTTCATGCCCTGCGTTGCGGTGTGCCCGTTCCTCTTTGTTCTCTTATCTTTTCTGCCTGTTCATGTCTTTCACTTTTCTGGCACTCTTGTCTAATTCCTCAGTGTCTACAGTTCATTTATGGTTTGTAAAGCAATTATAATTGTAGAATAAGAAAATGGAAGTTTTTATTTAAAAGAGCCATCTGCTATAAATCAGAGATTTTTAGGTAAAAGAAGGACATAGAAAATCAGAAGTTTTGTCATATTTAATAGCCCAATATATTTCTGAATATCTTTGGAGCATATAAGATTTAGAGCTTCCTGAGAACACTGTTTTTCATTCATAGCATACAATAACATTTTAGCTGTTGCAAAGGGGCTTTTAGATAATCATTTAGGCTTGGTAAGAGTGTATAATCCCATGTTCTTTTCTTACAGATTCACCTTTTACAAGTCTGCCTGTCCAAGAAGAGATGATGGTAAAATACGATAACCTTTCCGTGGAGAGTTATAACATATCATTGACTGGTAAGTATATCATGTTTCAAATATTACAATGCCAAAATAAGGTTTTTTAAAAAATTTTTAACTAAGCCATTGCTTTTTGCTTCATGTGAAGTGCTAATCCCTGTTCATGGTCTGGCGGGAGAAACACCCTTACTGCATATAATTACAGCATGATGAGAACCTAATGTGGTCAGGACATTGCGCTCTGGGTGCAGAGAGAGGAGGAAGTCATTCCAGACATGTTAGGGCTAAGAAGGGGTCCCTAGAAGAGGGATACCTGAGAAAAGAGAGGATTAATTTTGGTTTGCAGATACTCTTACTTTTTATCAATTCCTGCTGGTACATCCATTAACATAACTCTACATCAAGAGGAGAATTCATGTATCTTACTGGAAAACCTTTAGCCAGAGAAATTAAAGATGATATCAAATGAGTCAATGACGGTGCTATGGAAAAACAGGCAAAGAATTCCAAAATTAAAATGAGCTCTCCTTTTTCTTTCACAGTTTTACATTTCAGTGTTTCAAAAGTAATCTTAGCTTTTTCAATTCATGAGAGTCATTAATCTGTTATAGTAACAATAGTAAAATTGTATAATTAGAATTTAAAATATTATAAACCTGTTTATTAAATCAATGATTACTTTTTCTCCAAATATATGTCTACTTTTAACTGTCCTCTAGGCTTATGAACTGTTTCTTCACTTCTGTTTAGTATGAATAGGTGTGTGTGTTTGTGTGTGTGTGTGCCTGTGTATTTCCCAATCTGATGCCAATGGAATGTTTGCACTGTGCTTCTTGGTGGAGCATTTTTATGACTTTGTGCAGCCCTTGTTGGTTTCCAAATGTCAAAGCTGGAGGCCAAAAAAAAAACAAAAAAAGAAAAAAGGAAAGAGAGAGAGAGAGACTTTTGTGAGACATTAAGTTTGCAAATTCTTTATCTAGCCTGGCAGTGTTGGCAGCCGGGCACCTCTTACTTATGCAGTACAGCTGGAGCCTGGAAACAAAGGGTCAATGCTCAGGGCAAGAACAAGAAATGGACATTTTACTTGATGCCAGGCTGGTTATTTAGTTAACTTCTTTAAAGGGTTTAGCTCCTATTTTTTTATTCTAATAGTACTATTAAAATGAGTATTCCTACTGCTATAAAGAGATCAATTGTTCACAAATGTCCATTAGTTACCTTTACCTTGGCTTGATCAAACTTTAGTCAGGCTTTTCTCTTCCTCACAGACTCCTGAACTTGAGTTTGCTGTAAATCTGAGCAAACATTAAAACTCAGGACGTAATCGGCTGACTACAGCCTGATCATGCTGTCTGCATACATTCACTTGTTTGTTTTACAAACTCATAATGTCGACTATGTACCATGTACATATTTCTAAATATAACTTAATCATTATAACAATCCTATGAGGTGAGTACTATTATTATTTGTAATTTGCAGACAATGAAAGAGAGGCACAAAGAAATGAAGTGAACTGACCAGAACCATAGGTCCTAAGTTGGAGCTCATGGTTTTCAACCCAGGCAGTCTATGCTATTAATTGTTAGCTTTGCAGCCTTTCTTAATACCCGATTATTCATTTCTTTGCACAGCATTATTAAAAACAATTATACCTATTTTAAGAAGGCTGACTATGAAAATAAAGCTATTTTAATTGCCTTATTTCTAAAAAGGTTAGTCTTAGGAATTGCATTTGTTTAATAATGAATTTGTGAAAGCATAATTGACTTGACTAAAACTAAAAGTATTTTTTTCTCTCTGCTACCACTGGGTTTTTAAAACCTATCTTTTGATAATGGACTATGTTTATATCACTGTATGAACTTTCCCAATGTCAATAGTTTTCAGAATTCATTGTGTTACCACAATTAAAGTTAATGGTTTTCATGTATCATGTTTCTGTATTGGTACTTTTAGTTTTTCTCCCCTCTGCATATTACTGTTGAGTGTCTCAATCGGGGTGTTGTAGTTTAGCCATCGAGAATAAAATCAAAATAGCTGACTGTTTTCTTGACCAGCCAGGTAGTACTGGCATCAGCTCTCCCATGTTGACCCAGTGGCACATTTTATTTACCATGCTGAGATGTGAGCAGCTGTCCTGTCAAAGTCCTCCTGAGGCAGGGAGGTAGCATAAGCAAACATTGGAGATGCAGACAGATTAAGGCACAATGTAAGGTTTGGAAAGGTTAGTCAAGGTAAGGAAGGACAGCCATGTTG